TTAGCGTAATGGCTATGTCGCTGGGCTCCCATGTAGTCGACCACGGTTTGAGTCCCAGACCCAGTGGCTTAAACTCATGCTGGGTGCGTGTGCCCAAGATCCCGAGAGGAGAATGGAGGAGAAGGGATTTAGGCGTGATCATCCCCCCGGGGAGTGATTTCTCGCTTTCTGTCTTTCTGGCGAGTGCACACACCCTATACAAAAACCTTCCCCCCACTACAAAAAAGAGAAGACATCCAAAAAAAATAATAAAAACTCCTTTTGTCTGCTTTTAGCTCAGCTTTAACCTCTTTCCCGCCACTGTGTCAGCTGCAGGGAGACCAGTCTAGACTCCGTCTGCAGATAGAATTCGTTTCATTCCTCACCAACTTTCCTAACATCCGCTTCCTACTCTGTCTTCTCCCACTGACACTGTGGGAGCCTTCCGGACTAAGAAAGCTTGCGTGTGTTGGCTGGTATCGTTCAGGGATAAGGCACCTCTTGGGCTTCCTAATAGCGGTATGGAGGTGATGAGGCGGAGATGGCCCTGTGTCTTATCCTCTCTCTTTCTTGTTTTTATTTAAAGTTATTTATCCTTCTGTGACAGAAAAAGAGGAAGAGGAAGACTCCCAACAGAGTCTTGATACCCTCATCCACCCCAGACTCAGCCAGTCCCAGAGCACGCACACAAGTATCATGCTTGTGTCTGGTGTTCTCAGGGAGGTCTCTGGACTCAAACCCAGAAAGTTCCCATGTGGGTCAGCTTGCAGAGTATCATGTTTTACCATTGTGCCACCATCCAGCCCCTTATCCTCTTTTTTATTTTATTTTTTGAGAGTTTTTGTTATAGGGCGCGTGCGCTCGCCAGAAAGAGAGAGACAGAGAGACAGAAAGCGAGAAATAACTCCCCAGTGGGGATGGCCATGCCACAATCCCTTCTCCATTCTCCTCTAGGGATCTTGAGCATGCATGCATACCTGCCCAGCTTGAGTTAAGCCACGGGGTACGGGACTTGAACCGCGATCGACTATATGGGAGTCCAGTGACATAGGTATTACACCAACTGCTGGTCCCCCTCAGCCTCTTTTCTAATGGTTATGCTTGGCTTCCCCAGGAACCTAGAGTGAGATTGATTACATGTATTACCTACTGCTTTTAAGTTCAGAGAATAAAAGAATTACTGAGGGTTTTCTGTGTGCATTAAGAATGAGTACTCTGGGGGGACCAGCAGTTGCCATAATGGCTATGTCGCTGGACTCCCATGTAGTCGACCACGGTGGCTTAAACTCACGCCGGGCGCGTGTGCGAACGTGGCCAAGATCCCAAGAGGAGAATGGAGGAGAAGGGATTGCGGTGTGGCCATCCCCCTTTGGGGGTGATTTCTTGCTTTTTTTTCTCTCTGTCTCTCTCTGTCTTTCTGGCGAGCGCATGTGCCCTATAGCAAAAAAACTCTCAAAAAAAAAAAAAAATGAATACTTTGGGACCGGCAGGTGACGTGGTGGTTAAGGCACTGGACTCCCACCTAGCCGACCGTGGTTTGAGTCTCAGACCTGGCAGCTTGCTTTCTCTCTTTCCCACTCTCTCTCTCTCTCTGGTCAAATTAAAAAATAAGTAATAATAACAAATAAAAATTAAATAAATGATATTAAAAGAAAGGACACTCTTAAGTCCTTCATTCACAGACGAGGGTATGAAACAGAGAGAAGATGGGTGAGAGTTGGGAACAGGAGCAGCAATTTGTCAGTGACACCATTTAGAATGTGGCACCCTCCTGACACCAAGACCCAGAGAGGTCAGTGACTGCTGAAGCTGACCACAGTGGACATTGATCTGATTTGCCTGGTGTCAAAGTCTGGGCTTCTAGCCACCCCACTGTTGTGCCTTGAGTCAAGTGGCTCTCAAGAAACACTGATCCTTTTTCTTCCCATCCCCAGCGGGGAACATTTTGGAAAAGTCTGGAGGCATTTTTTGTTGACACAACTGGAGGGAGAACACCTGACATCTCGTGGGTGAGGGCCAGAGAAGCTGATTAACGCCCTAAAATGCATAGGACACCCTCCCTACCCACCACAACCAAGAATCATCCCACCAAAACCATCCACACACCCAGGCTGAGAAATCCTCCTTCAGGGAGGAGGGAGGTGTCCTAGGTTACTCATGAGATGCCGAGAAAAGATTTCTTTTTTATGACTATTCACACAAACCAGACCACAGACACAAAGCAGACAACAAATGTCCTAGTCTTCCTGCAGTGCCTTATGTGCGTGATGCGTGCTTTTTGGGTGGTGGGAAGCAGAGTGCAGGCACCTCTTTTTTTTTTTTTTTTTTTTTTTGAATTTTTGTGTAATGGGTG